ACCTCTGGCAGATTAGAAAGAAGCAGCCCGCCCTGGTGGCGCAGCAGGTTAGGATGCCCAACCTAACCTGCCCTGCAAGCCAAACACAGCCACTTCAGTGTGAGTTCGATCCCCAGCCCCAGAGGTGACCCACATGGCACAGCAGACCTCTCCTGACCCGCCTGCTTCTCCGCTCAGCAGTGTACTTTGTCAGTCGGCCTGTTCTGCTCCCCCACTCTGTCTCTGGTGAATCTTCTCACCCCCCCCCCCCAGTTCTATATGCATAAATAAATAAAACCTTTAATTAAAAAAACGATTAGAAAGAAGCATCCCTCTAGAGGACACAGCTCAGGCCAGGGCTTGCCACCAGGACCCACGGGGTGGCCCATGAAGGCTAGAGCGCATCCCCACAGCCAGCCAGGCTCCTCTGCACCGTCCATACGTGCTCAACTCCATGTTGCTGGGCTGGGACATAGACTTGAACCCAGGTTCTGCTGTGTCCTATGCGTAGATTCCAGAACACCTTGCTCTCCTGACCTTTTGTAAGGAGACAAGACTACTTGTCTTTTGAGACCATCTTTTTTCCTTTATAATGTCTTCAAACATATGAGTGTCTGCTTTGCCTTTTGGTATCAACAACTGTGAAGGTGGCCGAGACTTTTTCCTGCTGGTGAACTCATCAGTGGGCACTGCCGGTATCAGACACCACAGGAGACACGTGTCCCCAGGATCAGAGACAAAGGCCTTTATTACTCACAGCCACCTGAGCGTCCACGTTCTCCTGTACTGGCTCTCCCAACTCTGGGGTCCACCAGGTGATGCCCAAGGGTTGACAGCACCTGCAGCCACCAAAGGGTGTTCAAGAGAGGAGTGGCTTCTTTAATCTAACATAATGTTTTCAAGACTCATCCACATGGTAGCATGTTACTCCTTTTTACGGCTGCATAATATTCCCTTGCATGGATAGACTACATGTGTTCATCAGATGATAGACAGTTGGGTTGTTCTCACCCAGCGGCTATTGTGAAGA